CCTACTTTCTACAAGGGCCCAATGATGTGGAATAAGTAGATTTGACTCTCTATGAAGAGCATGTGCAGACATTCTGCCACTGTTTTCCTGTCTACTTATCAAGAGAGAAAAAGGCTTTTCCAGTGGACTCTGAGTCAGAGCTAAGCCTGCCTACATACAAAAGGCTCTGATGACTTGACCTCATTCTGTTTGCCGCCCAGCTGCAGTAAATGCTGTAAGTCTTCAGGTGAGGACTATGCCAACCGCCTTCTCTCCCCAGCCCGGCTGAAATGAAGCCATGAGCTCATGCCGCTGCTGTTGCTTTTGTCTTTGTAATGTCTATTATTTCCTTCCTTTTGTGAAGGAATATTAGAAACGGAACAGACCAGGCTGTGACCTTGTGAGCTTCCAAAAGCTGAGAGCCCCTGGGGTCCAGGAACTTGGCCAGGAAGCCAAGTGTGATGAGGAGTGAAAGCCTAAGTGACTTACTTGACCCAGCCTCACAATGGAACTGCACAGAGATTTCTGTAAGGCTGGGAGAGACCTATCTGTCTCTCAGATGCCACATTTGGAAGTGAACTTGGTGGAGCAAATGTTTTGCGATAACCCCTTCAAGTTTCAGCCTATGCTCCCCGAGGTCTGAGAAGGGATAGGGAAACACGTGTCCCCTGAACATGGATTTGTATTTCTGTCTGGCTGTATCTCCCAGGAAGTATCCATTTGCAAAAGCTAGTTTTTGTTAATAGTTTAAATGATATTGCTGTTCAGTGATGTTTGAGTCTTTGTGACCCCATTTGGAGTGTTCTTTGCAGAGATACTGAAATGGTTTGCCATTTCCTTCTCCAACTCATTTTACAGATGAGGAAACTGAGGCAAACAATGTTAAGTGACAGCTATTAAGTGTCTGAGGCCAGATTTGAACTCAGGAAGGCAATTACTTCCTGATTCCCGATCCAGTGGTCTATCCACTGTGCCACCTAGCTGCCCCCTGGTTAAGTGATACTACAGCTGTAATCACTAGCAAGTAGTATTAAGGAAAACACCAGAATTGGGGCTCAAGCCAAAGGTATGAAAGACATACCCTAGGGCTGAGCCTTCGTAGTTACCTTAGAACCTTTAGGGGCGAGATATAGCCTTGCTCAGGGAACCTGACTTGCCAGTAAAAATGAGAATTGAGATAAGGCCCCTCAAAAGTCTGTGAAAGGCTATTTCTCACTTGACTAAAGCTTAGCATTGCACATCTTCATTCTCACTTTGAGCAGAAGAGTCCTTGGGGGATTATCATAGAACAGTTAACCTCTATTCCTCCTAGGAAACTATCTCAATATTATTTTTCCTTGAAGTACTAGAAAATGGCATCATTCCCCCCTAAGCTCACTACCAAAAAGCCTTTAAGATATATGTCTCTCTTTCTCTTTGTTAATTAGCATCAGAAATGGTAGCCAACTCCTTCTGTGTTTCCTAGAACCTGGAGATTTTTATTTGTTCTCTTCTAGTCTCCCTTAGCATTTCAAAGAAAAATCACTTTTTAATGCGACCCAATTTTCCATGAGTTGTTTCAAGCAAAGCCATCATCTTTTAAATCCAACAATGAGATCTGCCATATTGCTTCTGCCTGGTCTATGAGGAGGGAGCTTGCCTGCTTCAGCTCTGATACATTCCTCCAATGCAGAAAAAGGACCTACAGATGAAGGCCAAGGTTCCTACCAGTTGGTGGTCTACTCAGGTACATAATGGCAAGGGCCATTAGAGGTTGAGAGACAATGGCTTGGGGTCCTGAAAAGGGAAGTGGAGGGAAAGGAAGTAGCAGGACCATCAAAGGTTATCATGTCGCATTTGAACTTCAGGTAGGTGTTGGACTTGGGGACCTCCCTATTAACATTTTATAAGATCTTCTGGGCCCAAATACAGGTAGGGATAGGATGAGATTGTGATTTCATCAGTGTTGGGGGTTTTCCATTAAGGAAACACCCTCTATTAACGTTGATGGCACCTTCTCTGCAACTTCTAACCTTAGAGAGCTAGCTGACTACAAAACTGAGATGCTCAGTGACTTGCCCAGAGTCACACTGCTAGTGTGTGTCAGAAGCAAGATTTGAACCCCAGCCTTTCCCATTCCAGGGGCATCTCACTATTACCCCACATTGTTGCTCATGCCTTAGAAGAATTTTTAAATGTCTTTGTGAAATTATGAAATAGGCAATCAGATTAGAAAAGTCATAACTTTCTCTTTTTTTCCCTTCCTTCCTTCTTTCCTTTCTCTCTCTCTCTCTCTCTCTCTCTCTCTCTCTCTCTCTCTCTCTCTCTCTCTCTCTCTCTCTCTCTCTCTCTCTCTCTCTCTCTCTCTTTCTTTCCAATGACCAGAATGACAGAGTGTTTTTCATTGTTAGGTGGTATTTGAAAATATATATAAGTGATTTGACATACAGAAGCAAAGGCATTCACAGCACATTTCATTAGGTGAGCTCCCAGGGAATTTGTTTTATCGTTTTTAAAAGGTGAACATTTATTAATTGCAGGACATTACTTCTATTCACCAAGCTAGAGAAACTAAAACTTAACTTAAATGTAGTATTTATGCATAATACAATACTGGATACTTTAAAAGAACATAGCATGTGATTTTTAAAAAAATACAAAGCCATCTCTTTTTTTTTTGGCTAGGCAATGGGGTTAAGTGACTTGCCTAGGGTCACACAACTAGTAAGTTTCAAGTGTCTGAGGCTACATTTGAACTCAGGTCCTCTTGACTCTAGAGCCAGTACTCTATCTGCTGCACCACCTAGCTGCCCCAAAGCCACTTTTTTTCGAGAAGTTAAGGTGCACCTGAGCACTCCACTACCTAGGTCTGTGTATAGAAGGAAATATTTTCTATTTCTAGTTTGAGCTCTGGTTGGGAAACTAAGAATCAGTGGGTATTTTCCCCTTTCTCATCAAACCATGTGCATTTGTTGCTGTTATGCAATTTGGACCTATCACGTGCCATCTTTTTGTCTAATTGTTGTTTATACATCTTGTTTCTCTAAAACAGATGGTAAAAACTAGAGAGCAAGAAATGTAACGAGAAGTGACTATAGGACCTTTGGAACGTTGTATCTACCTCAGTGCCAGCCCTTTATAGGTACTTAAATGAATGAATGCAGGCTTCTTTTGTATACCTTGTATCACCTAGCACAGTGCCAGGCATACGTTTTTGTTGTTGTTTAGTAATTTTTCAGTCATATCTGACTCTTTGTGATCACTTTTGGGGTTTTCTTGACAAAGATATTGGAGTAGTTAGCCATTTCCTTCTCCAGTTCTTTTTACAGATGATGAAATGGAGCAAACAGGGTTAACTGACTTGCCCAGGTTCTCACAACTAGTATGAGTGTATGATGCCAGATTTGAACTTGGGTCTTCCTGACTCCAGGCCTCATGCTCCGTCCACTGCATCATCTATTTGTCCAATAGTTGATGTGAAATAAATACATGTAGCTTACTTGACTTTCCTGGCACCGAAAACACCACTAGGCAAAATAGGATTTAATGAAAAGGCATTTTAAAAATACCTACTATGTGTAAAGCATTATGCTAGGTGCTAGGGATACAGATAAAAATGGGAGATGGTCCTTTCCCTCAAGGAGCTGACATTCTAGGAGAGATAATATATAGTATATCAGGATGTGATGGTTAGGGACAAGAATCTGGATCTAAAGAGTCCATGAGATGGGGAGCGGAGTTACTGGAAGGTTAATTTTTCTCCCTTGCTAAAAGCAAAGAAAGTATTGGTTTTATTCCTATTCCAAAAGGTAACAGATGAGAAGTACTTCCGTTTTTCTTTGTTTTAATAATCCAGCAAATATTTATTAAATGCCTGCCGAGTCAGTCAACTAGCATTTATTAAGTGCCCTCTGTTTACCAGGCACCATGCTAATCACCAGGAATACAAAGAAAGACAAAAAACAGCCCCTGCCCTCAAGGAGCTCACAGTCTAATGAGGGAGATAACACGCAAACAACTAGGTACAAATAAGCTCTGTGCAGGACAAACTGGAAATAATCTAAGAGAAAATATGCTAAAATTGAGGCCTGGGAAAGGTATCCAGTAGAAGGTGGGACTTTAGATGAGAACTGAAAGTAAAGAAAGCCAGAAGGCAGAGAGAGGGAGAGTGTTCCAGGGCTGGGGGACAGCCAGTGAAAAACGTGTCATACGTGAGGAACAGCAAAAGGGCCAATGTCACTGGATTGCAGCATACCTAGAGAGGAGCACCATGAGCAGGACACTATGCCTGTACTGTATGTGAGAACGAGACATTATGGAGCCCAGTTACAACATGACTCATCCTTACTTGGAATCAGATATAATCCAGATCAAATGTAAAACACAACGAAAGTCAGCTAGCTAGATGACAATTAGTCCAGCGGGCTAGTGTTCCAACACTGGGTCATAAAGGGATCTCACTCTACTAAGCCCTCCCACTCATGGATTTTTTATAACTTGATCAAATGGTAGCTTTAAAGGAATCTGAGCTCCTCAGTGTGAAAGGTAAGAAGCATTATTTCTCAGTTATAGAAGATGTTTCTTCAGTCCAAATTCAGCCCAGTGTTGGTAGTATTTGAATCTGTTGAATCCTATATGTAATGTCCCACTGAGACTTCCCTCAGGGACCATAGGGTATCATTTCTTAAGGATAGAATTAGACCATGTTGATTACTCCTCTCATCCACTCTGCACCTCATTCAAAATGGCCTATTTGACATCTTAATCTACACACCTTCAAAAAGGCTATGCCTGGAATGCTGTCCCTCCTTACCTCCACCTCTTGGACATTCCATTGAAATCTCAGTTCAAGTGCCTTGTCCTACAAGAGGGCATTCTAGAATTCCTCATTGACTTCTCCCCCTGCCCAAAATGACTCAATATTTATTTTGTGTTTATTTGCCTGTTGTTTCTCTCCAGTAGAAGGCAGAGACTTTTTTTTTCTTCGTATATATAACCCAGGTTTGCACATACCCAGATCTGCTGGTGCCCACCTGAGAGAGGCCAGGGACCAACTTCGGGGAGAAGATATTTTTGATTCCTCCACCATATGGGTGGTAACAGCCTCTTTCAAATGGCTATGCGGCCAGAACAGGCTGCATCTTTAAAACAACCAGACTCAGTCACCCTTGCTGTCTTTCCAGAGACATCTAGAAAAGGTGAAGGTCCAACAGCCTCGGTGCCATGATCTAATGGGCTACCTTCTCCCGTCTCTGGCTTTTTGGGCTCTCTGGCCCTGAGATATGGCCTGGGCTTTAGTTTTGGTCTGTTTTGTTTGTTCTTTTCAGTTTTAGGCACAGGAGGTAGAATCTTCAGATCATTGAGCCCCAGCAAGCTTTCAGGCAGGATTCAAGACCCAGCAGGGATGTCCTGAGATTTAATCCCAAGGAGGTAGGTGCTTTGGCCTTGGAATTTGGTGGTACCATACTACATAGGAACTGAACTAAGCTGAGAATCTAATACTCTTCCCTTCCACAGACTGAGGTGGTGCAGGGTGGGGATTATGCCCCCACGTGTTGGGGGAATGTTTGTATATTTGTCATATTATACCTTTGAAATAAATAAATAAATAAATATTCCTTTGTGAAAACTAACCTGTCAAGTGGTTAAATAGAACTGCAGTGCAGGGGACTCCCTGAAATGAAGGAATATTATCAACGTGGGCTAGAGCCAATGACAGAGAACCTAGATATCCTTCAACCCCCTTGAGGGTGCCAGAGAACCCTGGGAGAGGAGTGAAATGTAACATACTTGGCTTTCAGGTAGTGGAGACCAGGGTAGTTACAGTTAATATACCTAAGATCTACCATAGAGTGGGAGCTTGAGAAATGCTTGTTGAATGAATGAATGACCTCTAAGAAATCATCAGTCTACTTGCTTCAGTGAAGCCCTCAAGTAGCCACCAAGAAAGAATAGCACTTTGACCCTCACTCACTGGTATTCAAATCTAAAACTTGGAGGCCAAAAGTACTAGCTGTACCCCAGAGTCACCAACTCCCCCTTTCAGGGTTGATGGAGTATGTTCAGAATTCACTTTGACTCATATGATGTTGCCTTGGGAAAGTTAAATACAGCCTGGGTGTTAATTAAATTTTGAGTGTGTCAACCAGATCTGTTACAGTGTATGTTGGCGGTAGGGGGTGAGGTGTGAGGGGGAGCTAAAATAAGGCACTATATCTCATGTAAAAATCAAAACCACAATCACATCCTTCTCCACCTCCTCCAGAAGATAAAAGCAGCAGAATTACAACATGTTACTGCACTTTATTGAAAGGAGACAAGCCAAGTTTAAATCTCCCAGCAAAATCAGCTTTAGCATAAATCATTCAGGAAGCACCGAGAACGTGAGAATTACCACAAAGTAAATTGCAGTAAGTAGCAAGGAGGCTGGAGGCAGTGCAGAGACAGCCTTCCACCCCCAGCTCTGCATGGCTACTGGAGTTTGGCTTAGGATAGTCTGGTGATCTCTCCCTATTTCCAGACCTTCTTTAAGTCTGATGCTGATCAGAAAGGCAAAGGTGACAGAAGACAAAAACGGCAAGTGCAAAGGCAGGTACTATAATACACTGTTGGTAGAGCATGAATTGTTCCAACTGTTCTAGGAAATAATTGGAATTATATTAGAAAAGTTATTATACTGTGACCCAGTGATACCCCTACTATACCCCAGGGGACTAATGATGAAAAGAAAGGCCCACGCACACTAAAATATTTCTTGCAGTATATTTTGTGTGAGTAGAGTTAAAAGCAAAGTAGATGCCCATTCACTGGGCATCCACTGGCTATATGAATATAATGGCATACTATGTTAGAAGAAATAACAACCATGAAAAATTCAGAAGGACCTGAGAGGACTTTGTTTAAACAGGTACAGAGTGAAGTAAGCAGGGCCAGAAGAACCATTTATACAAGGACTCAGTAATGTAAAGGAGAGTAACACTGCAAGACATCAGAACTCTGATCAATGCAGTGGCTTCAGAGGACTGATGGTGAAGCAAACTTTCCCTCCTCTCAGCAGAGAGGTAGCAGATTATAGGTATGGAATGAGGCATACATTGTCAGCCACGGCCAATGTTTTGTTTTGTTTTGTTTGTCTCTACTTATTTGTTATAAGAGAGGGTTCTGTTTTGGCCTTCTGCTTTGGGAGTTGTAGTGGGAGCCTGGGGATTATCATTGGAAAGTGATCATGATACTTTTTTTAAAAAGCATTGACAATTCTCCTCCTCCTCCTCCTCCTCCTCCTCCTCTTCTCCTTCTCCTTCTCCTTCTCCTTCTCCTTCTCCTCCTCCTTCTCCTCCTTCTCCTTCTCCTTCTCCTCCTCCTCCTCCTTCTTCTTCTCTTCCTCTCCTCCTCCTCCTCTTCCTCCTCCTCCTCCTCCTCCTTCTCTTCCTCCTCCTCCTCCTTCTTCTCCTTCTCCTCCTTCTCCTCCTCCTTCTCCTCCTCCTCCTTCTTCTCTTCCTCCTTCTCCTCCTCTTCCTCCTCCTCCTCCTTCTCTTCCTCCTCCTCCTCCTTCTTCTCCTTCTCCTCCTTCTCCTCCTCCTCCTTCTTCTTCTCTTCCTCTCCTCCTCCTCTTCCTCCTCCTCCTCCTTCTTTTCTTCCTCCTCCTCCTCCTCCTCCTTCTCCTCCTCCTTCTTCTCCTTCTCCTTCTCCTTCTCCTCCTCCTTCAACTCCTCCTTCTTCTTCTTCTCTTCCTCCTCCTCCTCTTCCTCCTTCTCCTCCTCCTCCTTCTTCTCCTCTTCTTCCTCCTCCTCCTCCTTCCTCTTCCTCTTCTTCCTGGAAAGGATGGTGCCTCTAGCTCTGGAACTGTTAGTTGGGCATCTTGGATAAAAAAAAGATCAGCCTGTCCCATTGCTCAGCCTTGAATAGCCTAGATTGAGACTATTTACCCACAAACCCTATTTCTAAGACATTGGTCTTCTGTCCAATGAGGGATCCAATTTCCTAAAGTGATGTGTAGAAAGTAATAGATATCACCCCCTCCCCATCTCCCTCTAGACCTTCTGCCCAACTCCCTCCACTTTCCTGCTGAAACCCACCCCACCCCCTGAAAAAGAGCTGGGGCATTTAGTGGTTTGCATTGCTCTGTATGAGTCAACAATGCACCATGGCAGACAAAGAAGCTAATGCATCTTTAGGCTGCATTAAGAGAAGCACAGCATCCAGAGCATGGGTGGCAAGTGTCTCTTTGCACTCTGGCCTGCTCAGACTATATCTAGAATATTATGCTTGATTCTGGGCGCTGTACTCCAAGGAAGATATAGACAAGCTGGAAAGAGTCCAGAAGAGGGTGACCAGGATGGCACAAAAAGATCATGCAATCCAGCATTTGGTTTGATAATAATATATAATAATAATAACAATAGCACATAAAGAGTATTTTAAAGTTTGCAAAGCCCTTTACTGTATTATCTCATTTGATCCTTACAATAATCCTGTGAGGTAGGTGCCATTTTACAGACGAGAAGACTGAGGCAAACAGAGGTTAAATGACTTGTCCAGGGTCATGCAGGTAGTAAAGGTCTGAGGCAGAATTTGACCACCAATCTTCCTCTTTCAAAGTCTAGCACTTTATCCATTGCCTCATTAGGAAGTGAGAAAGTTTCACTTGGAGAAGAAAAGACTTAGGAGAGCCATGGTGTCTGCCTTCAAGTATTTGAAGGGTTATCATGTAAAAGAGGGATTTGCTTTATTTAGCTTGGCTCCAGAAGGCAGAACTAAGAGCAGAGGGAGGGAACTGAAGAGAGACAGATTGGGGCTGGATGTTAGGGGAAAGCTTCTTAACAATTAGAGCTGTCCAAAAGTGAAATATAATAACTCAGCAAATATTTATGGTTGCCTACTCTGTTCAAGGTGCCATGCCAGGCACTTGGAATACAAAGATAAAAAAAGAAAGAGTTCTTGAATGTTGAGCTCGGGAAATAGTCAGTAGTGCAGTTTTGGTGGCACATATCATATGTGGCAAATGAGATGAAAAACGTCTGGATAACAAGGGCAGAGCCAGGTCGTAAAAGTCCTGAAATGGGGGGCTGAAGAGTCCGTATTTTATACTCCAGGCAGTAGGGATCCATTGAAGTTTGCAGAGCAGGGGAGTGACATGATCAGATATCATAGATCTTAAGGGGAAATGTTTAATTTTTTCCTCTTCATTGTTATAAACCTGACAAACAACAACAAAAACCTTTTCTTTATACAAAGAACAAAAAAAGAGCAATGCATACAAGCCATGAATCTCCACTAAATATGCCTTTGTGGAGGATTTTTTTCTTTTACATTTCAAGTTTTGCCCTGCTTGTCTGTGCTCCCTTCTGAACTTTTCTCTGTATTTTAAAAAATAATTAATTGTTGTTTTTTTTCTTTCAGGAAAATTAACTTGGCAGCTGTGTGGAAGATGAATTAGAGGAAAAAGTAAGTTGTATAACAGCTCATTCCAGAGGTAATAAAGGCATTACCAAAGGTACAACTGTGAGAGATGTTACCAAGATAGAATCAAAGGCACTTGGTAAATGATTGAATAAAGGGCTAAGAAGGGATGTTAGGTGGGTAGAGCACTGGACCTAGAATCAAAAAGACCTGAGTTCAAATCCAGCCTGACATTACTAGCTATGTGATCCTGGGCAAGTCCCTTAACATATCTTCTTCAGTCTCCTTATCTATAAAATGGAAGTAATAATAGCACCTACCTCCCAGGGCTGTTCTGGGCATTGAATGAAATGTTTCTAAAGCACTTTGCAAACCTAAAGTGTTACGTGATTACAACTCCAAAGCTGTAAGTGGGGATGATCTAGATGGGGTTGCATTCCACATGCATGGGGGTTTTTGTTTGTTTGTTTAAAGAAAAGTGTGTTCTTCCTAACTGGAGGTCTGTAAGCAAAGGGTAAGTGACCCCTTGTCAAGAATACTGTCGAGGGGATTCTTTATCAGTTATAGCTTGGATTAAAAGGCCTCTGAGCTCTCTTCCAACTCTGTGTTACTTCTCCTCTTCTTGCTTGTCAAAGAGATTTGGCTCCATGGCCAAGCACACAGAAGCTTGGGGGGAGTGAAGGGGAAAGAAGGGAGGGGAGTGGGAGGAAGGGAAGGTAGGAGGGGGGTCATAGGGAAGATTGGTCTCGACGTTTGCTGTGTCCAGCAGACAGAAAGTGTGTGCAGGAGCAGTGTTTTAAATCATGGGCAACAGTGAATGAAGGTATTTTGGCATGAACATTGGCTGCAAACCTTGCCTTGGGAGCTTGGATACAGAAGCAGGAAGCTATGCAACCTTTCTGAGAGACATTTATTATCACTCTTCTATTTGATGGAGTCCTTTGTTGTATGGTGTCCACATGTGTACTTTTGTTGTGTCCAGACTCTTTCTCCAAGGGCGTTAGCAGTTGTACTTGGATTGCATCCCTCAAAGATGGGGGAGACTCCTAAATGTGTTGGCAAATAACTGGGAAACGTATTCAGAGATTTATTATAGCTATTCACTATCACCATGATTGCCTTTATGGTAGGGAGCAATTTGGACCATCATTCTCTTCTTGAGTTTTCTGTTCTTCCAACTCATCATTTGTCAGACACATAATTGATTCTCTCTTTCTTTTCTTTTCTCCTACCCTCCTCCTCCTCCTCTTCTTCTTCCTCCTCCTCCTTGCATGTTTTTTAAGGGAAAAAAACCCCTTCATTAAATTTACCTCACATTGAGCAATTTCCAAGTTCCACTTCAACAAATACTTGTGGAACAGTATTTCTCACCCTTTCCCCCTTTTCTCCCACCCCAGCCGTGTGTAAATCACTGTTCTCCCAGAATCACAGAATCTCAGGGTTAATAGGAAACTCAGAGACCATCTAATAAAATCTGTTTGTGCCCAAGAATCCCTTATTTGGATCCCCAACAAGCGATCATCTCCACTGAGACTTCCAATAAGACAGGGCCCACTATCTCCTGAAGCAGCCATACCCCCTTTTTTTGAGGCAATTGGGGTTAGGTGACTTGCCCAGGGTCACACAGCTAGTGAGTGTTATGTGTCTGAGGCTGGGATTTGAACTCAGGTCCTCCTGAATCCAGGGTTGGTGCTGTATCCACTGCGGCCACCTAACTGCACCTAACCATACTACTTTTAAACCGCTCTCATTGTGAGGAAGTGTTCTGTTTGTTTGTTTGTTTGTTTGTTTGTTTTTGAGTAGGCCAAAGAGGCTATTCTCTGTTTCATTTCTTACCTAGCCTTAATCACTGACTCAAACTGAGACCTGTTAAAGACCTTAGCTTAAAAAAGCCAAGCCCTCCCACTGCATCCAGGGCCATCTCCAGGCATCCTGATCTATGTCTTGCCACTGGACCCAGGTGGCTCTGGAGGAGAAAGTGAGGTTGGTGCCTTTGCACAGCCCTGCCTCACTTAAATCCAATTCACTTGCAAGTCATGGCATCACCTTCCTGAGGTCATGGTCCTTTTTGAGAAAAACAATAACAACTGACAAAATAATATGTAGAATAGATTGAAAGTGGACAGCTAGGTGGCACAGTGGATAGAGCATGGCCCTGGAGTCAGGAGGACCTGACCTCAAATCTGGCCTCAGACACATAATACTTCCTAGCTGTGTGACTCTGGCTAAGTCACTTAACTCCAATTGCCAAGAAAGAAAGAAAGAAAGAAAGAAAGAAAGAAAGAAAGAAAGAAAGAAAGAAAGAAAGAAAGAAAGAAAGAAAGAAAGAAAGAAAGAAAGAAAGAAAGAAAGAAAGAAAGAAAGAAAGAAAGAAAGAAAGAAAGAAAGAAATGAATAAGTAAATAAATGAATGAATGAATGAGTGAATAAATAAATAAAAGAATGGATTGGGAAGCAGAAAATCTATCAGGGTGCGTGTTGTTGACCACCTACGATGTCAGAGTATTTCACTCTGCATCAGGAAAGGTAGCCCCCGTGAAACAGAAGTACTGCCAAAACCTCAGGGGACATGCAGTTCTGTCCACCCACTGGCTGGCCCTCGGGAACAAAGCCCTGACTCGTGACCTTCAATGTTCTCTTCAATGGGGCCCCAGAGGCACATGGCTGAGTGCACAGAGGAGGTTGCCAAGGCGCTGGGGCAGCAGCAGGAAACTGCTAGGAGAGCAGGAGGGAAGGTGATTTGGACAGTTTGGACAGTTGGCAGAGTACGCTGTGAAGGCCGCGAGCATGGGCTAGGGCACACAGGGCCCTAGGAGGGGCCGCCAGCCCTTGCTTTCTGCGCCTTCCAGTCTGCTAAGAAAGAATGGGCTGTGCATGCATTCCATTTCTCTGAGGAATTTGTTTGCAAGGGGCTATTCACAAGAAAGGTTGGTGTGAACCAGTGCTGGAGAAAGAGAGGGCATAAGGGGCCACTGTTGCTGTCCAAAAGAAGAACAAGGAGATTGGCCTGTTAGGTGAGGCATGTCTGAAAGTAAGGAGGCAGAAAAGGAGCACTGGACTCAGTGTCACAAGACCTGGGCTCCAGGGGAGGGGACTCATGGGGGAAAAGCAATGATAAAACATTAAGAAAAAATAGTTACCTTTTCCACTTTCCTTCTGGGCCTCAGTTTCCTTCCTTGAAAAACAAAAGAAATTTAACAAAATGATCACCAAGGCTGCACCCCGGTTCCCTTCAAGCGTTTGCTTCCTGTGCAATGAATGTTAGGCGGCCAAGGAAACATTTCTTTTAAAGAAGGAGGTTCAGAAGGAAACTAAATAAGGAGGAAGGCTTTGGAACCAACGTGTTGAATTTATTATACACCTTAAAAAAGAGGGGAACCTGACTACATGTGTTGGAGATCCATGGTTTCATATCCAAACAGAAGTAGGTGCTAGACCAACCCCAGCTGGCTATTGAGGGCAGATTATTCAATTTTCAGTGTGAGCATTTATACTTCAGAATTTGGCAAGGGCTACAAATCAGGGCTTGATTTATTGTTTAGTTGATTGTCTAGACTTAAGAAAAGGATGGAGTAAATGTTAATATTGCAAATTAATTTTAAAAGTGCATTTTTAGAGAGCTGGTTGTTAAATATTTACCAGCACACCCCTTCTTTTTCTGTCCTTCATATGTGGAAATGTTTGTGTTTGCTTGCGTTTGTCAGGTTTAGAATATCAAAACCAAAATTTAATAAAACATAAAAAAAAAGGTAATGTTAGGCTTACATCAGGCATGACACAACAAAATTTCAGGACTCATCATTTTCCTTGGTTGCAGGGAAAAAGAGTTGAGAAATACATCCCAACTCAAAACAATTCAATAAACATTTATTAAGCACCTACTAAGTCTATGGCACTAAGCTGGGTACTGGGGATAAAAAGACCAAAAAAAAAAAGATCATCTATCCCTGACCTCAATAAATTAACCTACTAGGGGTGAGGCACATATATAGATGAGAAAATACAAGCCAGTTTGGGAAAGGAAAGAGCACTGACTCTCTCAGTAGCAGAGGCAGCTGATGGTGCAGTGGTTAGAGTGCTGGGCTTAGAGTTAGGTAGTGGTTATTAAGTTGCCGACTCCTTATGATCCCATTTGGGGTTTTCTTGGCAGAGATACTGAAGTGGTTTGCCATTTCCTTCTCCAGCTCATTTTACAGACGAAGAAACTGAGGCAGAGTTGCCCAGGGTCACACAGCTAGTAAGTGTCTGAGGCCAGACTGGACTCATCTTCCTGACTCCAGGCCCAGTGCTCTATCCGCTGCGCTGGAGTCAGGGAGATCTGAGTTCAAATATGACCTCAGACACTGAGTGGCTGTATGACTCTGGGCAGGTTACTTAACCTCTGTTTCAACTGTAAAATGGGAACAACAATAACACTTACTGTTGTGAGGGCCTGGCATATAGGCACCGTATATAATTATTTCCCTCCCTTTTCTTCCCCCACCCCCACCCCCACCCCCCATCAGCATAGTACAATGGAAGGAACACTGGCTCTAAAATCAGAGATTCAGATCCCAGTTCTGATGCTTATTTACCCATGTGACCTTGGGCAAGTAATCTAACCTTCATGGCATTTGGTTTCCTCATGGATCAAAGTGAGGGGGCGGAACCAGGTGATGTGAGGTCCCTTCCGGGTCTAGAGCTAGGACTTACCTCCAACACAGGAAAGACTTCAGAATTCTGAAAATGGAAAGAGACCGCTTGGGATTAATCACAAAATATGCCTAATCCTGAGGCTGGGACAAATGAGGATAATTCAATATGAATTTCTTTTAGAAAGGAAGGGATATAAGGAAGAAAAAAGACTGTGTAGTTGGGAGATGGGAGACTATGGATGTGGAATGTGGCATATACACACACATATACACAATATATACACATACATGCACATATATACACATATACACACATATACACATATGGCAGCTGTGATTGCTGTCAGTTGGTTTTGTTTAAATGTTTTTCTTTATGAGAAAGGGATCAATGTCAGGGAAAGGAGATGGAGGAGAAATGAATATAGTATAAAAATGAAAGGCACATTGTCTTGAAATGTAATTGGGAAAAATAAAATAAAATTTAAAAATTACAAAACAAAAGGCACCGTGAAATTTATTAAGAGACAGAGGGCGAGGGATGACCTATACCTATGCTGTTAGTCTGGGCAT